CGATGAATGATGTGCCAAACCGAGAGAAGCCATTTTGTGACTAGTCAAGTAAAATTTAAAACTCGTAGGATGCTCAGGAGTATCATGTGACACCGAGACTCACGGCGATTGGTGGGACATACTCGTGTCAGTCATGTAAAGTCTCCTGCGAAAATTTAAGTTCTTGTGTGAAATTGATAAGTCCAAAATACTCGAAAAATATAGATGTGTGATGCAAACATAAGAGAAATATTATTGTATTTTTTATTGTATTTTTTATTTTTCTTAATCTCCAAAAATAAGTAGATATACAAAGTTCCGTGGCAGACCTCTTCAGAATCTTAACCAAAATTAAAAATTAAACAAACTACAGTATTGGTGGTTGAGTAGTAACTCATGTCTCTCTCGTTAGTACGTCATGGGGTCAAGTCCTGCTTGACCGGACACATGTGACCCTATCCAACGTCACAGGTTTCCTCCTGTACTAACACTGAACACACCTAATGGCTAATACTGTACACTACTGTAATCTGATAAGATGTGAAACTATAAATTACAAAGTAACAGAACAGACCAAATGATAACTAAGCTGATAAGTTGTGAATAGACAACAACAGATTGCTGTATGCCATTACCAATACATTATATTTTTGTGTGTGTGTGTGTGAATTTTGATAATTATATTGTATACATAGTAATCTTGCTATAATAAAATACTTGTCTGTAATAGAAAAAAGTACAAAATTATTTACGTAATGGCCACCCACTAGAGGTAGCTATGTTGAGTGAAGGAGGACAGTGGCCTGTGTAGGATCCTTCCATTCTTCTTGATAATTTTGTCAAGGGCAATTTTGAAGCACTCAGCCCTCTTGGATAATGGTGATGGCATAGTTCAGGAATCATCTTAGTGTTGCACCTTTTAGGATGTTGGTCTTGCGGAGGGTTTCCACGCCTGTATACAGTAATACAGACTGGGTTAGGTTGTACAGTTGAAGGAGACTTTTCCTATCTCAGTATTCAAAGGTACACTTTATAAGTCCCAACTCTCTATTTGCTGTCCTCACTGCTGCCCCCCCACCTGCTGCACCGCCTCCAGTCAATGATCTCTCTCAACACCAAGATATCCAGGAAAGTGTTATTAACGAGTAATTGTGATTAAGGCTGTTGTATCCTATGTGTAGGGTCTTGTATTTTGTAACGTTAAAGAGCAATTGTCAGTCTCGAGACCACTTGAACAGCTCATGTAGGTCACTCTGCATTGTTGTGACATCATCTTGACACCTTCCTAAATACTCTTGATGTCATCTGCAAACTTGACACTGAGTCATTTAGGAGCACACCTTTTGTAAACAAGAGCAATAGTAGATGAACAGTAATGCCTGTAGGTACACTATTATTATACAATGATTAATGATGAACTGTTTTGATAATGCACTGTTATTCATATTTATGCAGCACCATATAATTTCATCTTATTTTCAGTGATACCAGTACAGTACAGGCAGTCCCCGATTTATAAATAAGTTCTTATTGAAAATGAGTTTGTAAACTGGATTAAGAAATCTCGGTAAAATTGTATTATCGGTCATTCCTGTATATTTTTATATCCAAACTATGCTTTTTCGGTGGTTTTTGGCCTGACCTAGTCATAGAACCCAGGATCCTATTTCTAATTTAAACTAAATTCCTAAGATTCCCCGATGGACCAAAACTAAAATACAGTAAGTTCTCGCTTAACGTCGTGGTTCCGTTCCTGAAAACTGCGACATTAACCTAACGATGTTAAGTGAATCAATTTTCCCCATAAGAAATAGAAAAAATACGGGAGTTACGCTCCCCAGCCTCCCTTTGACCCGTGAAATACATTACTTATATACTGCCACCTTCACTTGACAATCCCACACCTACATAAACGAACAAACCAAAAATATTAGTTACAGTATTAAATCTTTTCCATTATCTTCACTTCACTTTTCACGTCACTAACAACCCATTTACACTCACCTTAGAGGTCGTAATATGCAGAGTCGGCTGCTTACTCGTCTCTCAGAAAGACTGAGCGGGCGAGTGTGAATGCTTGGGTGAGCAGCTACGCCTTTGGTGAGCAAATAACGATTATTGCCATGGTGGTAAATTTTATATATTTCCCTCGCTAAATAAATAGATTTATCGCTATATATAGGAAAATGTCGATAATATGGTAGTCTCAATATGAAAGTATCTATAAAAAATCGCTATACCCATATATCCCGACCCAACTGTATAGTTCATGCTGTATGGGCTTAATTCTGTAGTAATAGATTCAGTTTGTTTAGTCATATAAATGGCATCACACTTAATGAAATTAAGAGTACAGTGGTCCCTCGGTTACTGAACACAATTCGTTCCAGAAGGTCGTTCGTTAACCGAAACCATTGTTTCAGTGGGATTTTGGGTAATTGGTTCCAGCTCACCGAAAATTACATACAATGTAAAAAAAATGCAGTAAAGTACACTTACTTTGAGGTGTGTATGTAGAAGGCTCCTGGTTGATGATGATGATGATGATGGGAATTAGAAGTGGGGGTAGAGGAGGAGAAGGAGAAGAGAGAAGGAAGTGGGGGTGGAGGAGAAGACGATTGTTTCTTGAAGAAGTAGTCACCTTCCATAAAAAATGTCAGGAACCTCTGACTGGACAGATTCTCCCAGCAGGAAAATCCTTCCTTTTCAAGTGGAATGCTGAGGGCTAGCATCTTTATCCCGGGCCATTTTTAAGAAGAACTGTCAATTTTTCAGGGGCATTTCTCCATTAACTCGATTTTTGAAGGAGACCACTTTGTCCTCAACATTACACAAAAATAGGTTCTGTTGTTTCCACATCAGGGTGCCTTGAGCCATCTTCTCCTGAACTTCCCAGTGGTAAATCAATATCTTTAAATCTGAATAGCAGATATGGTCATCACTTTCCCTTTCTCCTCACCACTGTCAGCTTCTAACATCTCATCCAGTTGCTGCAAGTTCAGAAGTAAGTTCCTGCTCATGAGACATCACAGCTCTTCTACACCATCATCCTCCACTTCAAGGCCCATTGATCGGATCAATGGACACAATCTCCTGGTCCAACTTGTTTTTTCCTCAAATCAAATCATGCACCACTGATGGCCACAGTACTTTCCATGGCAGAATTGAGGGATCTAGTGGAGACATCTTCACCATGATGACACAATCAATTTTACAGCCCAGGATGCTGAATCAGGTCTTCCAGAACTGTGCCAGTGTTGGTTCAGGATCAGTGGAAGTGCCTGATGACACCAATTCGAACATTTTCTTCATGTACATTGGCTGTATAATTGATGCTGTAGTGTTGGTGTTAACACTTTGACAAATAAATCGAGCCTCCAAAGTGCTGCTTAAAGGTCAGGGTCATGACTAGGGCACATTCTCCATAAGGAGAAGAGCCTTTAAAGGAGTTTATTAGTGTTAGGTAGTTTGACAGAAGGGCAGTACACCTCGACAGCCCATTCAGTAAAGAGCTGTCTTGTTACCCATGCCCACGTTGACTTCAATAAAGTTGTCCTTCTTGCCATCTTTTGTTGCTTGAACACCTGGGGTTCTCAGAGTGGTAGACAAGCATAGGCTTCAGTCGAAATCCCCTGAAACATTGGCACCAAGCACAGAGTGGAGACGTCTTCGTGGTTTATGCCCAGGTAAAGAGGCTTCATCTCTGTGATGAATGTTATTTGGGCATCTTTTTTTTCCAGAACAGCCCAGTTTCGTCCACATTGAACACTTGCTGTGGAAGATAATTTTCTTCCCTCCACCAGTTCCTTAAAGTCCACCAAAAAATTTTGCTGCTCCTTCTTTATCAGCACTGGCAGCTTCTACCATGCCTACCAACACTGAAAATGTCACTTCTTTTTCTAAATTTTCGAACCAGCCTTGCTGGCCCTAACTCTTCTGTGTAAACTCTGCACCGTAGAAGAAACTGGTTGGTCTTCTTCAAATGTCTGTGAATTTCCTGGCTCTTTTCTACAAATACATTCAGTCGAAATTGAATCTCCTTTCATTTGTTTTTTCCCTTAATCCAAATGAGAAGTTACCTCTGTTTCTAGAAATTAAGGATCTACCTTTAAACACCGGTAGATTTGTTCTCACTTTCACTTCTTGAACTTGTCTTTTAGTGAAGAATTGCCCATTATAGTTGATGCCGACATGCCATAGTCTACTTAAGCACATTGTTCTAATACCTCATGTTTCTTAATGATTTTCTGCTCAACGGATTGAAATTGCCTTTTCTAGATTTCTTTGACCCATATGCTGATCTGCTAATAACAATTTCACCACTAAAAATTTTAAGTTTAATTCGTTGCAAATAGAAGATTATTTTCTTTAAATCAACACTGCACTGCGCTCATATTATCAATATGTTAAATAAGTTTCAGAATGACCAATAATTGTTCTAAAACAGTTTATGTTCAAGAGACACAAGCAAGTATGTTACCTCCACTGAACAGAGACAATAATAAAACAGACGCCTTTGTGGGGAGTGAAGTGGCTGATGGTGCACCAAAAACTAGTTTCCCTGTATCACAATTATGTTAAATAAGTGTTAAAATGACTAATAATTTTAATATAAAACTTTGAAAAATATTTAATAGCACAACCCTCTTGATATTTACTCAAATTGGAACGAATTTAAGCCCTAGAACCGATTACTGTATTGGTGGACTAATATTCCAGCTGGTGAGCAAGTGAAAACATGTTGATATGATTTCGTAAGAATTTCGTTAACCAAATTTTTGTTCGTTAACCGAATTGAAGATTCTTTTGGAAGGTAATTCGTTAACCGAGGCGTTCGTTAACTGAGGGACCACTGTACTGTACTGTACTTGTACCGGTACTTAACCAAACCACTTTTATGACTACTGGTAATATATACCATACATCATATATTCATATGAAGTTGCAGGCACTGTATAGCTGTGTAAAATATTAAAGTTTATGACATATTATTGCATTACTGTATAAGCTCTGTTTTACAGTTTGGGAGTCTTCATGTCTGTAGTGCACATGTCTTGGTAAATAGACAATCAACATGACTAATAGCAGTGAATCACTGGGCCTTGTTAATGCTGTGGAGTATCTGGAGGAGGAGGAGAAAGATGTGTCCCCATCACACCCTCAAGGTTGACAGCACCAGTATGAAGGTGAGCTCTTTTATTATACTTTACTACCAGTTTTATTTTAGAAATTCATTATCAAAGTTATTGGCTTATATCGGGTGATGTTTGATATATTTTGATTTCTAAATTATAAAAAAAAAGGACGTAGTTGGACTGACAGGATCTAGTTTTTCTGGAATTCCAAGGTATTAAAGTGTACAACATTGATTTCACTGTACTGTACAATGAGTGATGACAAGATGAAATGACTACTGACAGTATCTGGTGTTCACAAAACCTAAAATGAAAATGAGAAATGCATAAAGGCCAAAGGAAAGAATGAAAGTGGGATGAGAGAAGACAGAAGGTGTGAGGGAAGTACAGTTACCAAAACAGTATCACTACTTTTATCTGTACAGTTTGAAATGCTGGACCAAATACTATGATATATTCTCCAGTTCATCTTCATATGGTGGTATGCCTGATTGCATATTGATACCAGATATATTTATAAAATATCTGCAGGAATAAAACTTAAATTACTGGTCGTTTTGAAATTTGACAGTTCTCTGGCCGAAGGTGTTATCAGATAATTTGAGCCATATGCTGTAGAAAGTAATAGTGTACTGTATACCTATACCTGTGGTCAACTGTACCAACCATTCTGTAACTAGTGGACAAACACTGCTCACAAAAACCACATCATATCCTGGTAACTTAAGTTCTTGGATTTTCCTATCTTTTAGGTTCTGACTTCTATCTCTTCATTTTCAGTTTCCTCTGACTGTACAGTAGTTCTTTATGTACCTGTGTTGTAATTAATTTGATTTGGTCTTTGGTTTCAAATCTAATAGTGAACACATTAATGAACTTTACATCCAGAATTGGTATTTACAAAGAAACACTGTGGAGGCCCAGGATTCACTTTGTACCCAGTGAATTCAAGTTCAGGTTTTTAGTAACTACCAGTATGTGTTATGTTACAATTTGCTTCTGTGTTTGTCTTGCACTACTCTCTCCTCTTAGTCCCCAGCTTTCTTTGAGGTTACTCTTCTCTTGATTCCTCCCTCACAAAAGTAGAAAGGGAGAAAGATCATAGAATCAGAGTCTCTTGTTGATTCTAAGAGGGATATTGGATGGTGTCAATGGTTGTGGTTGATTCTAAATCTCCTTAATTAGTCAAAGGATGTGGCTTAAGTACTATACTGTATTGTGGTTGTTCATTATTGGTGAGTGGTGATAAGTGTTTTGTGATGTAGCTGCTGTACTGGTTGTAGTTATAGTAAATGTGCTATGATTTACAGACGTGCCTGAAAATTATTCCTGGGAGTTAATTACTGCCAAACAAGAAATGACAAATATTACATCATTCATTCCAGATAAGATACATAAAGGTAAAACAATGGTTAATATAAGATTAGTAATCATGAGGTGTACTCCCATCACCATTGTGTTAATGATGCCTCAGTGAGCTCTATCAGTGTATCAGTCATTATGGAAGGTTCTACAGAGTGTGTGTGGCATCATAAAAAATAGGGATGAATTTCTTTAGTGCAAAGGGAGCTTCTAAGAGTGTATTTGCAAGAGATAACAGAGTTACAGCAGATCAAGAGCTGGTCATAATGTCCCCTACACAAGTGGACTTAAAGGGAAAAACTTTTGATAAAAGAAACTACATTGTAAGTGTGATAATACTTTACTACAGTGATATTTATTACTTAAAGAAAAGGTCATTATTATTACATCATTCAACATTCTTAAGGTGAAAAGGTTTCCTTTTATGTTATTTAGTTCCAGTTTTACAAAATAGTAAGTTATTATATTAATTTTCAGTTGCTTTAGAAAATGAAGTGTGTATACCTAGACCTCAGCTTGGCTAAATGTATTTGTCTCCCAGCTGTGAATGGGTGTAGTACAGTTGGTGAGTGTGGTGCCTCATTCAGTGTGCTGTGTCCTCACTGGTGGGTCATTTGGCCACAGGGACCCACTTCCAACCAATCTACTTAATGTTTTTTATTTTCCTCCAACCTACTGAAAAACATCACAGATTTTGAGAATATATTATATCTAAGTATTGTACAGTACAGTTATAACACATACTGCACTGTATGTATGTGATTTTGTTGAGAAAATTCCTTTAACTTATCATTTTATCATGACCAAGAATATCCATCATTGTGTAATTCTTTTCTATATACTGTACTGTACAGTGGTCCATCGGTTAACAAACACAATTGGTTCCACAGAGTCGTTCGTTAACCGAATCTATTATTTCAATGGGATATTGGGTAATTGGTTCCAGCTCACAGAAAAAGTATACATACAAAGTACTGTATATCAGTAATAGAATTAACAAAACATTAAATATAAACTAAATACAGTACTGTACTGTACAATAATAAATAAAAAACAATAGAATGCTGTATTTTAACTTACTTTGAGGTGTGTATGTCGATACCGGCAGCTTTGTTTACATTTAAACAGCTGATTGTAGAGGCAGTCGATGATGACGTGCCATATTCTTTACAGAGTGCATTGGTTCTAATGCCTTCTTGGTTTCATAATAATTACTGCACTGTATATTATCAATATGTTAACTAAATTTCAGAATGACCAATAATTTTAATATAAAACATGCAGAAATATTCAAGAGACCAACTTTCTTGATATTTACTCCACTTGAAACGAATGTAAACATAGAACCAATTTGTGTATTGGCGGACCAGCCGATCAGCTGATGGGCACAACAAAACGTGTTTGTAGTAAGGATTTCATTAATCAAAATTTTGTTCATTAATCGAACTGAAAAGCCTTATGGAGCTGATTCGTTAACCGAAATTTCGTTAATTGAACCGTTCAGTAACCGAGGGACCACTGTATATGCTGAGACATGTCTTCTTGTCTTCCCAATGTGCTGACCTTGAGAGACAAGTGGACAAGCTTTTGACTGGTCAAGATGGGTACAGTACAGTATAGTATCCAGAGTAACACGGGTTCGATTCCGGGCGGCGGAAGTTGTTTGGACACTCTTCCTAGTCCCCTTGGTCCCTGTTCACCTAGCAGCAAAGCAGGTACCTGCTGTAAATCGAAAGTTGTGAATTCAGATTCAGGGACAAGTTGTTGGAGCTTCCAATAACTTGCTTAGACATAAAAAAAAACATTGACCCTTCAGGCTTTCACGCCCTTAACTCATGAGACATAAAGGCAAGCATGAATTTAGCATGCTTCCTGTTGGGCGCTGTAAACGATTTTATGCTTCACCTTACACAAGGATGTTGGGGAGTGCCCAATAAAAAAAAAACCCAACTCACGCAGTTTTTTTTTTATGGGAATTAGCCCACCCGGGCACAGGGTCAAACGACCCACAATGGGGCCTGGGGGGAGCGAAAAAAAAAGAACAGAAAGAAATTAAAAATAGAAAAGAAAAAGGTTATACAGTAGGGCAGGGAAAAACACTTTTATTTGAGTTGCAGGCTGCACTTTTCAGGCATCGTTTGTATGGCTGTAACAAACACCTGTGCAAAATTTCATGCCATTTCATGCATACTTACCCTGCCGCATCGCGAACGACTTTGTCAACTTTTAGTGTATACCAAAAATTAGGTGTCATTTAATGTTTTCCAGGATAATGATAAATTTTACATGGGTGACATCGATTTAATTCACATGTTATTTTACAGGTACACCGTATAGAAAATCATTACAAGTTCATATTGAAATTCTTTTTTGTGCGGAACCTTGGCATCATTTTTCTAGACAATAATCTTTGCCTAATATATCCATCTCTCGATTCGTATCCCGTCACTTCAGTGCAAGCTTCAGTCATCACTTTTATGCCTCTCTCGACCACCTGAGTGCTGTTTGGCCACTTGGGCACCACTAATGGTGTCTCAAGAATGTCATTAACCTGTAGATTTGACAGAGAAGCAATGTAAGGAGGCTCAGTCTTGAGTTCATTCCTCCAGTTAATCATGGAATGATAGTTTTTTGCTTGCCACTTTAGTTTTGGAGTCACCACCTTTCTCATGTTGATTACAGGAGGCACATCCTCATTCCCATCTCCATCTTTACCCTCCTCATCAGTATAGTTTAACAAATTCTCGTCAACAGCAGCATCAGAATCTTCCTCCTCCTCTTCAGATCTGCCAGTGCATTCTTCCTTTTGCTGATTCTCCTCTCTAATTTTTCTTATCATTGAGACAGTTTTTTCTCTAACAGTCATGTCCTCATCTGCACACATACCAAGAAGAAGTTGATCTGTGTGGGCGAAGTATGCATTTCTCTGGACAGCCTTCTTCACTATCGTCTCCTCCTCACTATTCAGGTGTTTCATATATAGCAGGGACTGGAATACGTTCCTTGAGCCGTGTGTTACGTAAGGGTGTATCTTGATGTAAAACCACATTGGAGCACTGAACTTTATTATTGTAATGACAATTCTTTTCAACTCATGGCTGGGTCTTGATGTTGCTACATACAGCCTGAGGATTCTACTCCATAAGGTGTTCCACCTTGACACACAGGGAGGACCTGGCTCAATAGCAGCCAAGTCATCTTCAACAACACCTGTGATAACTCCTTTACAAATCCTATACAAGTATTTCTGATCCCAGGACAGATCTTTCTCCACTTCATCATTAAACACAGGGAAATCAGGGAAACTGACTGGCTGGAAGGCGACAACTGGAAGCTCAGACAAAGACTCCTTGATCTGCTTTCCAATGGGACCACGCCAATGCTCAGGACCACTTGGTTTACCATCATAGTGATAAAAAACTGCGCGGAAAGGCAGCTCATTTCCGTGAAGCTGACATATGAAATAATGGAGCGGGTGACCAAGTAACATTCCAAGATGATGAATGACTCCATTTTCTGATCCTACATTTACATTGGTTCCATCACAACCAACACACACAATGGGCTGCTGGGTTAGATTTTTCTCCACCAGAAACTCGTGAATAGTTTTGGCAATCTGCTTTCGTGTCCAGTCTTGGGAGTCACATGTGTGAGATATTCATTGCCAGGCTCAACCATGATGACATAAT